GGAGGCAGGATGTCACCTTGTTTTCAAGGACCTGGACCCCAGGACCATTACTCTCTCACACGTGTCAGGGAAGAGGGGAGAGTCACTGGTTCCTTGCCCTGACGGCAGCCTTGATCAGTTCTCTGGAATGTGGTATGTTTTGAGTTTAAGGTGCTGCCAGCCAAGCAGTCGCCACAGACGCAGCTCCAGGTATCTGGCGGGAAGATACAGGAACAGGAAGGGCCTGCCTGCCCAGGGAAGCTGCATCTCAAGTTTCTGGGCATGGCCTCTAATGAGGGAAAGTGTGACAAACCCTTGGGTTCTCTAAATCAGTGGTCTGCAAAGTGTGGACCCTGGACCAGCAGCATCAGCATGACCTGGGAACTTGTTAGAAATGCAGATTCTCAGGCCACACCCCAAATCTACTGAATCTGAAACTCTGGGGATGGAGCCCAGCCACGAGCCCTGCAAGTGATTCTGATGCTCGTTTGAGAAACGCTGATCTCAAGAATGACTAGTATACTTTCAGGTCTTAGAATCAACATTAGTGTTTTGGGCACTTATTTTAGTGAGGAAAAATATCCTACTGGAAACTTACAGTATAAGTAAAGTTCATTTAAGGTGGTAAATAAGACTGGGTTTCTCGGTCTCAGCATTATCGACATTTTGAGCCAGGTAATTCTCTGTTGTGGAGGCTATCCTAGGCACTGTAGGATGTTTAACAGTAACTCTAGCCGCTACCCACGAGATGGCAGTAGTGACAACTAAAAATGTCTTCAGACATTGCCAAATGTTCACGGGATGAGGGGGCCAACCTCAGCTGAAAACCACTGAACTAAGCCAAAAATATATAACAGATTAGTTTATTTAGGTTTTCAGAAACAACAAATAAGGATCCTAGCCCAAAGACCTTACAGTTTTAGGCAAACACAAATATATTACAATGTCATAAATGTTGTTTAAAAATATAAGGACTGTAGGAAGAGAATCTGGCAACTGGGAGACCAGTTAAGAAAAGGCATTGTGGGACTTCCCTGGTGGCACAGTGGTGGGGAGTCCGCCTGCCAATGCAGGGGACACGGGTTCGAGCCCTGGTCCGGGAGGATCCCACATGCTGTGGAGCAACTAAGCCCGTGCACCACAACTACTGAGCCTGTGCTCTGGAGCCCACAAGCCACAGCTGCTGAGCCCGCGTGCCACAACTGCTGAGGCCCGCGCACCTAGCGCCTGTGCTCTGCAACGAGAAGCCACCGCAATGAGAATCCTGCGCACCACAACGAAGAGTGGCCCCCACTCCTCGCACCTAGAGAAAGCCCGCGTGCAGTGGTGAAGACCCAACACAGCCAAAAATAGATGAATAAAAATAAATGAATAAATAGATTTGGAAAAAAAAAGAAAAAAGAAAAGGCATTATAATAGCCCCGGGGAGAAATGAAAGAGTCTGAACTAAGGCATTTACAGTGAAGAAGGAGGCAGTATATGGATTAGAGTCTTTGGATATAAACAATACATTGAGGGCACTGTCTCATTTTAGCAAAAGCAAAATTTACTGGAAGGATAGGGGGAGTTCAAAAGGATAGTCTAACAGCCAACCCCAAGAACAAGAGAAGTCAGGGCAGCTCTACAGGTAGAGATAGCAGAAAGGAACTGAGGGTGATCTCTTTAGGGCTCATAGGAATAAGTCTGCTTCAACCATTTTTCAGACCTTATGTCATTTCTCTCAAGATCCCAGGTCTTAGAGGAGACAGTCTGATTGGAGTACCCCTTGTCTGGCAGCCCCATCAAGGCTATGTGCAGGGGATGGATGGTTTCCCAAAGGAAAAGGAGAGTGTTGTTGATAAAAGAAGGGGAAAGGAATGATGCCGGCCAAATCCACAGACATCCACCTCAGAGCATCAAGAGACAGGACAAAAGAGCATGAAAAAGGAGCCAAGGATAGATCCCAAGTTCCTGGCTCGATGGATGGTGGTACCATTGATCAAATTAGGGAATATGGGAGGAGGGGCACATTCTAGGGGCAGATGAGTCTGCTTTGTCCACCAAGTAGTGAACCTGCAGTATGGCTCTGGAGCTTACGATTTAGAGACTTGGGAGATGTCAGCCTCTCTGCAAGAGAGAAAAACGTGGGCATGAATATGACTTAGGAACAGAGTATTGAGTGAAGAGAGAAAGGAACCACAGGTGGAATGCTAGGGAGTAGCAAAAATTAAGAAGCAGGTAAAGGGAGAGAAGCTAAGCAGGTGAGTGATGTATTTGATGAGGCATATTTGGCCAACTGAGAAATCAGCTGTCCTGTGTTTCGGGGTGCTTTGTCTTACTTTTGCTTTTCAGAAAAGAGGAGAATGTAAGTTTCCAGCCTCTTCTCAGAAAAGTTGCTGTGATGATGAGGTCAGCTCTATTCTTTACCTCCAGGTAGGGAGGTAGCAGGCTTCTTATGTAGCTCAGAGCTAAGAGGAGAAGTTTCCAGGTAGGGGAGACTCACCTGTAAAGCCTGGGCCCAAATAGGGAATTAAAATCGATTGGTTAAAACTGCAGTCCTCCTACCAGCAGTACCAGCATCAGCTGGGAACTTGTTAGAAATGCCCCACCCCATGCCTAGGAAATGAGAGTCTGCATTCTAAGATCCCTGGGTAATTCACACCTACACTGAAGTACGAGAGGCATTGTCCTAAGGAGGGATGGTATGGAAATTGTGGAATTTGAGGGACGAAGAGGAAGGTGCCCCAACTCTTACAGAGTCTAGAGGACCTGGAGCAAAGATTTGCAAGTGCATGGTGAAGAGGAGATGGACCTGGGCCCACACAACTGCAGCACCCGATGGGTACTAATGGGGCCTGAGTACTAACCTATGGTCTTGAGAACCTCAGCGGATGGCTCTGTGTCTGAGCTCTGCACCAAGGGAGTAGAGGTTGGTGCTCTAAAATGTACCACACTTGCCTGCAAGAAGCAAGGAGCAGCATCCACCATGGATTGCATAAACCCTTGGGTGACCATTAAATCTGGCCGTTAGATCAAGCATAGTTTCCAATGAGTAATGAGGTCAAAATCAGATTGCAATAGTTGAGTAGCAAATGGAAGATGAGAAAATGTACCCAATGAGAAGAGAGTAAGGAATCTAGGAGCTTGACTGCAAAGGGAAGGAAACAGGGGTGACAGACAGCAGGCTGAAGAGAGAAGGTGGACAAGGGGTGTTTGTTTCATTTTGCTTATGATGATACTCGGTAAGACCTTAGAGGAAGGAACCAATGAGGGGAAGGAGGTTGCTTGAAAGACGTTAGTGATAAGACAAGACCCTTAGCAAGGATGGGAAGGGATAGATGTGAGCAGTATTCAGAAGGTAGAATCAACAGGACTTAGTGACTGATTAGACACTTGGAGGTGAGAGGAACAGCAGTTGATTTCCCTAGTGGTTTTGACTCCACGGGAGACACGGTGAAATACAGAAGGAATGAATATTATTGCAAGGGTTTGGCTCTGGTTTGGATTAGAATTTAGGAAGATTTAGGCAGTATCTATTTTTCAATGTTCAACAAACATAATATTTTTGTTAAAGTATTATCAAAGAACAAGTTCTGGCTGTCCTGTCTTAGAGGCAGAGGAAGTGTAGCAGGAAAATACTGGACTTGGGGTCAGAAGCCCTAGACTGACAGCCTTAAATGCGACCTGAGGGAGTTAGTTGACACTTCTGGCATGCATTCCTCTCATATACATGAATGAGACAAAAGCAGTGGCATACCATGGGTGAGCGGAGGGAGTGGCCGCCTGGGTGCAGTTGATCAGGGGGTGCACTGTCTGTAGAGAATTTTGAAACAATAATAAAACTGACTAAATGTCAGTCCGCATTTTTGTTATCACCACGTGCTAACAGTTCTAAAGAATGTCAGTGATAAAATACTCGCCACCCTCGGTAGCCATAGAATAATAATCAAATTTCACAGTGTACCTCGTTAGATCAGGGGAGATGTGTGTGCACATTACAAAATGCTATAAACTTCTAAACAATCTATGTCTTCAAATTAATGTGACTTGTGAAATTTAGAGAGCAAATAGTGGTTCTATTTCTATTAAAATAAAGTACAGCAAATCTCCCTGATCTGTAGAAAATTTCTTGGTCATATTTAGTGTTATTTTTTGGAGGTAAGTGAATTTTTTACCACAGATTTTAAGAGATAATGAATGGAAAACATTAGTTTTTGTGTATTCAATAAGGAAATCAAGAACATTAACTTTATAGCCTTCCTTTTGGTCAGGTAATTCAATCAGAGACCTAATAACTGGGTCTACACAGACTTGCTGGATGATACAGCCAGTTGAAATGAATGAATTACTTCACTATATGCTCTAAAAAAGAAATACTATTACTTACCTCAAAAAAGAGTCTACTGATTCAAGGCTGACAGAGTTCAGAGCACAAATTAAGGTCAAAACAATGAATCTAAAATAAACTGAGAAAATACCCCCCACCCACCAGAAAAAAAGTCTACTGAATATTGAGAAAATCACATGGTGAATAATTTTTAATACTTCATTTTATAATGACTGATAATGATCAAATTTTATTTTTTAACAGGTTCACAATTAACTAGCAAGAATGCCAATAGTTAACATGTCCTTCATGTTTTAAATTACCTGGCATGTAGCTGGCAGAGTATGTGACTTGCCCCACTGTAGAGATTTATTGATTGACTCCTACTGTGTACCTATACTTCAGTAATGCAGTATAAGAGCCTTAAAGATATATCAAAAGAGCCTTAAAGATATATCAAAAGCCTGATTCTTGATCTTCTCTACGAGTTTACAGGTATAGGAGCTGGGCTCTGCAGCACAGAGGACATCCCTGCAGCAGCTACAACTCTCACCTAAAGAAGCTGACCACCCCATTCCTTCCCAGTTTATGACTGCTAAGTGTTGAGGACTTTATAATAAGCTGTCTCCCTTGCATGCTGCTTAGAGAGAGAGGGCATTATTTTACTCAAAAACTGGAAGACTAAAATAATGAACTTGTAAGACTCATTGCTGTGAGGGCTACAATTGAAGCTATTATTCAAAGAGCATTTAAAACAGAATATTATAGTAATTACCACAGAGGAATATTTAAAAATAACAAGAACTAAGGTTTTAATTTTACCTGATATGTTAATTAGAAAAGTATTCTGCATTTTGTATTCTATAAGCAATATACCAATACACATGTATAAATATGAGGAATAATGACTTTATATTTAACCACAGTGTATTATTTTAAGAAGAATGTTAGTTGCCTTACATGTACAATTTGGATACAGTTTTCCTCGTAATTCAGAGAAAATTTACTTATGATAACAATTTAAAGAAAGCCCTTAAAAGTCATATAAGTCATTTGAGAAGAAATCCATCCCTCAGTGGGTCATCATCTTCTACTATAAAGCTTGCTGTACCTGTGTAATGGGCTTGTCCAGATACTTCCACTATAACAGCTTTAAAATCACCATATTTTACTTCCTGAAAAAAGAAGGTGAAAGGAGAATATCAAGATACTGCCCTCATAGTTTATCTAGCCTAAAAGTTGTATTCTCAATTTTTATCATTTTAAAGAGAACCCAAGAGTTAATCATATAGGCAATGGGAGGTTTTTAAGGTAAGTGACTGGATTTGTGTTTTTGATTTAGTTTAGCTGTAAAGTAGGGAACAAATTGGAGAGGAGAGAGACTAGAAACCCAGCAATCTGTTAAGAGGAACCTTAATTCATCAATTAAATCTAGAGACAGGAGGGCAGTTTTTAGAGAATGGAGAACAAAATATAGAGATACTTTGGAGGCAGAATTGATAGACCTGGGGACCGATGTATGTAGGAGGTGAGGAATAGAGATGAGTTAAATATGACCATAGTTTCTAGCTTGGAAGTGAAGCTGGCGCCACCATTAGCTGAGATGGGGAATGAGACAGGAAGAACACATTTAGGAAGGAAGAACTTGTAAACAAGTTGAGTTTGAGATATCTCTGGGACAATCATCTTGAGATGAGTTTAGTGGACAGTGTCAGACTCAGGAGAGAGGCACAGGTAAGCATGGTAGGGATGAAGCTTTGGGAGTCATCATTAGTGGGTGGTTGAGAGATGAGTTCACTCTTATGTGGGTGAAACTGCCCATCTGCATCAAACGTTTACCTAAGAGCAAGAAAATATGGTGGTTAACAGTACAGGCTCTGCTCAGAGGGACCCACATGCATAGCCTGGCTCTGTTACCTGTCTGTTTGACCTCTGGCAAATTATCTAAACTCTAATTCTCCATTTTATCACTTGTGAAAAAAGGATGATAACATTACTGACCTCAGAGGATTCTTGGGAGAATTAAAAGAGATGGTATATGTGAAGTGCTTAGCTTGGAAATTGACACATAGTCAAGCACCCAATAAATGTTGTCGATTATTATTTTGTCTTGAGTCTCAGACTTGAAGATAACGTATTCCAAGTTTTTGCATATAACATAAATGGTTTCGTATCCCATAAGATCAGCGTATTATATATGAATCCCTAACTTAAAGCAAATTCCATATTCAGAAAAGAACAAACTTTAAAAACAGCTACATTAGGATATAAAACTCTTTATTAGGATAAGTTATATGCTATATTAAAGGACTCTTTGTGAGTAGATTCATTTATTAGATGCAATTTAATCATACTACAGTAGATTTTACTTACTACTATGAGTAAATTCATTAATTAGCTGTTAGCTCATTTATACTTTGATTCTGTTACAAAAATACTTTCCACAACCTTTCAGGACTTTCACATCTTATTATATAAAATGGAACATTCCTATAGAATAAAAACAAAAAAAATCCAAACCCTAATTTAATGGTTCTCAAACATTTTGGTCTCAGGATCCCTTTATACCCTAAGATTTGAGGACCTCACCCACCATTACCCTGATACCAAAACCAGACAAAGACACTTAAAAAAGAAAATTTATAGGCCAATATCTTTGATGAATATAGATGCAAAAATCCTCAACAAAATATTAGCAAACCAAATCCAAGAATGCATAAAAAGGATCATACACCATGATCAAGCTGGATTTATACCAGGGTCACAAGGATGGTTCAACATATACAAATCGATCAATGTGATATATACTACATTAACAAAAGGAAAGACAAAAACCACATAATCATCTCAACAGATGCAGAAAAAGCATTCAACAAAATTCAACATCCATTCATGATTAAAAACTCTCATCAAAGTGGGTATAGCAAGAACATATCTCAACATAATAAGGGCCATTTATGACAAACCCACAGCTAGTATAATACTCAATGGTGAAAAGCTGAAAGCCTTCCCACTAAATTTAGGAACTAGACAAGGATGCCCACTTTCACCACTTCTATTTAGCCTAGTATTGGAAATCCTAGCCATAGCAATCAGACAAGAAAAAGAAATAAAAGTTATCCATATTGGAAAGGAAGAGGTAAAACTGTCACTATTTGCAGATGGGATGATATTCTATATAGTGAACCCTAAAGTCTCCACTCTAAAACTATTAGAACTAATAAATAAATTCACCAAGGTTGCAGGATACAAGATTAATATACAAAAATCAGTCACGTTTCTATATACCAATAATGAAATATCAGAAAGTAAAAAACAATCCCATTTAAAATCAGGTCAAAAAAATAATACCTAGGAATAAACTTAACCAAGGAGGTGAAAGACCTATATGCTGAAAACTATAAAACACTGATGAAGGAAACTGAAGATGATTTAAACAAATGAAAAGATATTCCATGCTCTTGGATTGGAAGAAATAATATTATTAAATTGGCCATACTACCCAAAGCAATCTACAGATTTAATGCAACCTCTATCAAAATACCCAGGCCATTTTTCACGGAACCAGAACAAAGAATCCTAAAATATATATGGAACCATAAAAGCCCCCAATCCTGAGAAAAAAGAATGAAGCTGGAGGTATAACCCTCCCAGACTTTGGACTATACTACAAAGCTATAGTAATCAAAACAGCATGGTATTGGCACAAAAACAGACAAATAAATCAATGGAACATAATAGAGAACCCAGAAACAAAGCCACACACCTATAGTCAACACACGACAAAGGAGGCAAGAATATACAATGGAGAAAAGACAGTCTCTTCAATAAGTAGTGCTGGGAAATCTGGAAGAAGAGAACATAGGCACTCTTTGACATAAGTAGTAGCAATATTTTCTTGGATCTGTCTCCTAAGGCAAAAGAAATAAAAGCAAAAATAAACAAATGGGGCCTAATTAAACTTAAAGGCTTTTGCACAGCAAAGGAAACCATCAATAAAACAAATAGACAACCTATGGAATGGGAGAAAATACTTGCAAATGATGTGACCAACAAGGGCTTAATTTCCAAAATGTACAAATAGCTCATACAATTCAATATCAAAAAACCCAAACAATCCAATCAAAAAATGGGCAGAAGCGACTTCCCTGGTCGTCCAGTGGTTAAGACTTTGCCTTCCAATGCAGGGGGTGTGGGTTTGATCCCTGGTTGGGGAGCTAAGATCCCACATGCCTCAGGGCCAATAAACCAAAACATAAAACAGAAGCAATATTGTAACAAACTCAATAAAGACTTAAACAATAATCCACATCAAAAAATCTTTTAAAAAAAATAGGCAGAAGACTTGAATAGACATTTTTCCAAAGAAGACATACAAATGGCTAACAGGCACATGAAATTGTTAGAGAAATGCAAATCAAAACCACAATGAGGTACCACCTCACACCAATCAACATGGCTGTCATCAAAAAGTCTACAAATAACAAATGTTGGTGAGGATGTGGAGAAAAGGGGACCCTCCTATACTGTTGGTAGGGATGTAAGTTGGTGCAGCCACTATGGAAGACAATATGGAGGTTCCTCAAAAAATTAAAAATAGAACTACCATATGATCCAGCAATTCTACTCCTGGGCATATATCTGAAAAAATGAAAACACTAATGCAAAAACATGCATGCACCCCAATGTTCATAGCAGCACTATTTATAAGAGCCAAGACGGGAAAGCAACCCAAGTGTCCATCAACAGATGATTGGATTAAAAGATGTGGTACACACACACACACACACAATGGAGTATTACTCAGCCATAAAAAACAGTGAAATAATGCCATTATTATGGATGCCATTATTCTTATTAACATGGATGGAGAGAATATTGTGCTTAGTGAAAGTCAGACAGAGAAACACAAATACTGTATGATATCACTTATTTGTAGAATCTAAAAAATAATACAAATAAATGTATATGCGAAACAGAATGTACTCACAGATATAGAAAACAAACTTGTGCTTACCAAAGGGGAAAGGAAAGAGTGTAAGCACAAATTAGGGGTACGGGATTAACAGATACAAACTACTATCCATAAAATAGATAAGCAACAAGGATATACTATATAGCACAGGGAATTATACCCAACATCTCATAATAACCTACCATGGAATATAATCTGCAAAAATACTGAATCACTATGTTGTATACCTGAAACTAACACAATATTGTAAATCAACTATACTTCAATTTAAAAAGATTTTAGGACCTCAAAAAGTTTTTGTTTATTTCAGTTATATCAATTAATATTTGCTATATTGGGAATTAAAGATATTTGTTAAGAACCTGCTATATAAAAACAGTAAGTAAAATTCTAAAATTCAAAAAAAAAGATATTTGTTCATTAATGCATTTAAAAATAATAAACCAATTACATTTTGTCATAAACAACAAACTTTTGTGAAAATAACTATATCTGCCAAAACAAAAAAAAATTAATGAGAAATATGGCATTTTTTACATTTCTGCAAATCTCTTTAATGTCTGGCATAACAAAAGGCAGCTAGATTCTCGTATTTGTTTCTGCATTCAATCAGTTGGGATATCACCCATCATGTAGCTCCTGGAGAACTCCACTGTACATTTGTGAGAGAATGAAAGTGAAAAGGAAGCAACATCTCAGTATTGTTATGAATATATCTTTGATTTTGTGGACCCATGGATAGGACCCCAAGGTCCTTTCCACACTTTGAAAACCAATATCCTAGCTGAATGGAAGTTTTTTCAGGCCTGTCTTAAAATTCTCTTCTAAGAGCTAAGTGAAGAAACTTATCTAACACCCACCTTAGGTCTCCACAGTCTCAAAAGTAACATACTTACAAATGAGTAGCTAAGGGTACCACTCACCCTCACAGCCTTCCCTGTGAATACTGAGCCAGTTGCACTGCTTTTAAAGGCTCTGGTCTGGTTCAGTTCTAGAAGCCCTTTGTGATACTGTAGGGCAATTCGGGCCGTCACTCCTGAGCCGGTAGGACTTCTGTCAACCTGTTGCAGAATAAATGAAGATGAGAGTGTTCACAGTGTTCTAGTTCCATATTACCTGGCTGTGTGCCTAAAAATTCCAGTTTTAATACCTGTTCATCTGCAAACACACAGATGTTGGTGGTTGGTTCCTCACTATAAGCGTCTTTTCCATCTGTTAATATAGTTCCATATAGAAAGGCAAGGTCTTCGCTGTCAGGATGATTAATTTTAAACTGTAAATAAAATAATTATCAACCACACACAAAATAAATATTTTCATTCAAACTTATCTTTTAAATAACATATATGGGGTACTCAGGCATAATTTTTCCATCTTTATCATTTAAAAAATATTTTTTGGGTCACAGCACTAAATACTAGAAATTATGTCTTTCTCTAGATGAATAAAGATAGTTTCGTTGGAAGTTATGATTTTTATACTTTGAGCCCTTTCTAAGGAAGTCGGCCTGCACATAGCCTCTATTAAAGGAACAGTCCTATTTTATACACATACCTCCCGAAACACATACTCTTTGAACCGCTGACCCCAGCATTGACCCCAGGATGGTCAATTCACAGGCCAGCCATGTCTGCTCAAGCAGGAGGAGTTAAGGCAATCCTACTCTCACCCTCAGGAACTTGAAGGGGATAATGTAGAAAAATCAAGCAGTGAGTATCTAGAGCTGAAATTAATACCACTGATAGATACAAGAACTGTCAGAGGCCATGAGCAAGCAAAAAGTATAAGGATGCAGAAGCTATAGGTAAGAGAAACAATTGGATGGGTCAAAAAAGACTTAGAAAGGATGAAGTCAGTATCATAAAAAGCAGCAGGTACACACAGAGAGAAGCAGGCACTGACAGGGGAGCTAGGTCACGTCAGTGGTAAAGCTTGGTCAGGTCCAAATGTGCGATGCTTCCTGAACTTGGGAGGTCTGGTTGTTTAACTTCTGGATTCCTGTAATGCCTGGTAGCTTGGCTGAGATTACTATAACCTCACTTCCATTGTATCCTTACAGTTAGTATATTCCACTACCACTTACCTGTCATTTAAAGCAGTTGAAGAGATTTGGATTCTTAAAATCCAAAGAGTCCATCTATAACCCAGTTAAAGAGGCCTGTATATTGGATCTTTGTTCTCTGACCTCTTAAAGCCCCTATGCACCACCTCCACAATAGCACCAGTACATCACACTGCCCACAGGGATGCTTCCCCCACTAGACTGAGCTCCTTGAAGGTTGTGGGGTTTGTTCTTCCTCTGGGTCTCCAGCATCTAGCATGGTGTCCGACATACAATAAGTCCTTGGTAAATGTTTGCTAAAAGGACAAAGATGAATTTATTTTATATTTACTTTAGCTCCCTCCCCCCGGCAAATGGCCTTTGCCTAAATCTGCATTAGCAGTATGAATAATCAGTAATTCACAAAGTAGTCCTACTGCCTGCTTCACCACCGACAGAACTACTCATATTTTTTTCAGAATCCTTCCTCCCTCAAAGTCCACCCCTTGCCACCTTGGTGAGAAGTTCTAGCTTTGAGAACTTCAAAATTACTCCTTTTATTAAGAAAACAATGCCTTTTTCTCTTGATTTTATTAAAAATAAGGTCAAATTATTTTGTGTCAAACTGTTAAACTATTAGCTGTCTGCTTACTAGAACAGAAAATGGATGTAAATTCAGAGTTTCAGAAGTTACTGTGATAAAATAATTCTACCTATTGGTATTGACAGTCCTGGAAAAATTATAATTTAGAACAGGGATATGGTATATATTCATTTTGTTATTTAAGTTATTATGTTAAAATAAAGCCTCAGATATGTTAAATAGGCCCATAAATAATTAGTAGAAGTATATTAGATTCTATCTTTCCTAAGTTATTTTTTACTTAGAATGATAAACTCTCATATGCTAAAACATTTAAATATGTATATGAGTTTTATATATAGATCCCAATTAGGTAAAATTGAGTTTTATATATAGGTCCCAATTAGGTAAAAAGGCACACTTGTGCTAGAAAGGAAAGAATATTCTAGAATTATTTATTATCTAAACTGATTTTATAACAATAGTTTTCCCAAGCCAAACTAGAGTTACTTGAGTGGTTATTTAAGTAACTTCTTAGCAATATAGGAAAAATTCACTAACTAGGAATTAATGTTCTCTGTGAAATAAGAGAAAGTCTGATCAGATTTAATGAAATCTATTTTGTAAGCTATATTTTACATTCATTATTTTCAAGGTTTGCAGAATGACCACATATATCAAAGCATTTCAAATTAGTGGAATAGTATATAATACATTTTCTATGTTTAAGTAACCACAAATTATATTATTATTATGTATTATTAAAGTTAATAATAGTTACCATTTATTGAACATTTACTATGGCTAGGCACTATTCTAAGTCCTTTACACATATTGACTTATTCTTACAACTCCCTATGAAGCAGGTATTTCATAATTTCCATTTACAGCTAGGAAAACTGAGGCACATGGAAGTTATGTAACTTGTTCAAGGTTATAAAAGCTACAAGTAGCAAAACTACAACTCCCAGGTAGTCTTGCTCTAGAGTCTAAGATTATAACCAGTACCCTATTCTTAGTACTACTGATAATTTGAACTCAGAGATATTTAATTTTCTGTATAGACATGTCATTTATATTCCCTCCATGTCACAGAGGAGGGTATCTGCTATGATAGCAGCATCTGTACTGACCTGAGCTTTCACTGCTTCTGTCACTGCACTTGCTGCATCCATGAGGTCCCTTGTCTTTGTGGAACAAACATCAAGTCCTAACTTTTCAGCACTAACAAACGCATAAAACGCACCACCATATGCAATGTCCACCACCACCTTTCCATGACTGGGAACATCCACTAGGAGATCTAAAAAAGATGTGTTTGAAAATAAGTTTGTTTTAGTATTTCAGCAATAACATAAAATAAAATTAACAGCATTTTAAATATATGTGTATTTCCGGGGGTTGGGGTGGGGGTTCTTCTTCCTATCGTAAAAAGGAATGGAGCAAAAATCCATTTTCAAAATGAGTATGCATCACATAATTAATAATAGACCTTTAGCTCAGTACATCTTTCTATTTTTAAGTTAATGAGGTTTGTATAAGTTTTAGAACATGAATGCCATGTTTTTCCTAAATCATACATACATATTTTGTTAACTATTCTGAAGATATTTTCTAGAAAACATCATAGAGGCAGAGAGAGAGGAAATTCTGGAACATGAATGTGTGAAAACTATGAAGGAAAATGTAGGTGCCTCTCATGCAGATTATCAAAAAAGGGGCCAGCCTGTGGAAGGATGAGGCTAAGTCAACCAACAGGGCAGAGAGGGGTCTCAAATTCAGAAATTAAGTTGTGAAAAATAAAATAGTTCTTGTATTCCTGAGTTTGCACAGTGAGTCATACAAAGATACCAGGGGGCTACCAGTTAGAGTAGAACCACAGGACCCTTTTAACACATGATGTGTCAAAACAGAGCAAGTTTATAATCAAAGGAATAAAACACACCTGTGGAACTTAAGAGCAAAAGTGAATCAAAAATGTCTTTATCTTGATGCTGATGCAACATGAAAAGCAGGTTTAATGAAAGGAGACTCAGGAAATAGATGGAAATGTGAGACTGCCAGAATGGGGAAAGCTAAATGTGGCTTTGAAGTCCTCATGCGTAAAATGGAATTGCTGTTTCGTCCTAAAGGGATTGTTTTGAGAATTCCATGTGATAATGTGTGGGGAATAGTGGGCACAGTTTAGGAATACAATAAATGTTAATATTAAAGCCAAAAGTTTAACTTCCAACTGGAACAGGGCTCTTAAGAGGACAGATAATTACATTTGCCAATCAGCATATTCTTCTCTGAATTTCATTTATTTACACAACAAATATTCATTGACTGTGTACTGTTCTAGCACTTAAATACAGTGAATAAAACTAAAGAGTCTTCATTTTAGCTGGGTGGAGTGGAGATGAACTCAGCAATCCTGAGGTAGGGACTGTTGTCATCCTCATTTTATAGATGACATTGAAACATGGAATCCCTTCCACAAGGTCACAGAGATGGGGAGGGGCAGAGCCGTGATCTTGGACACTATCCATCTGCCTTTTATGCAATTTTCAAGGTAGAGAATTTAAGGATTTCATTTTCTTAATGGCTCAAAGTGACCATTAATGCCCACTGATTATAGTATGGTCACACAGTGATGCTTTCAGGAACTACTGTGCTTGTGGGGTTGGCTGCCCCTGCCCTAACCAGCCCCGAACTATGATGTACGTAGTTGGTGATCCTGCTGCCAGCTGTCATTTCCCACAAAATTTAGAGTGTTTCTAATCTGCTGCTGGGGTGGCCTAAGGGGAAATCAGGTAGCCAAGCTAGTTAACTGCTGAGCTTTTTAAAGATGCAATCCTAACATACATTCCTGTCTCCCTCAAGTTCCCTCCCAATCCAGACGTGACACCATTCTTTCTGGGAAACTGGCATCAGTTTGCCCAGTGGCATTCTTTATCAACTTGTGTGTTTCGGCTGCCTGAGGTATTCTAAGACTCTCAAACACCTGGGCTATTACTGCATCATTCATAACATTTATAATCAGGCTAAACTTGAACCCAAATCCACGAGGAGGATCAAGATCAAATTAACAGAATGATTTGCACAGCTGGAAGACTTTGAAGAAAAGGAATGATAAACCTATTGCTGGGTTGACTAAATTAGCTCCCAGCTCACTTCCAGTCAGACTACTAAAGCATCTTGATAGAATTCAGCCTTTGTTGATGGAATTTGTAGCAATCTCCCTCTTTGTAAGGATGAATAGTTACACTCTGTTTTACATGACATACAGGCTCTGTACTAGAGAACCCACCAAAGCCTTTTAAAGGCTCTGCACACCTAGAGAACTATAACTAGCAACCCTATATATTCTGCAGTCTTTCTATGTCTAGGAAGATGTTTTTTTAAAATTCTAAGTACCTTGCATACTCATTAAATCCTCAAAAAAGCCTCAATGAGATAACAAATGAAGATACAATGGACATGGAGGGCGTCAGTAATTTGACTAAGTTTGCATAGCTTTAAGGGTGTGTCAGGATTTGGACCCAGGCAATGTCTGTACCTGTTCTTAAAGAATTAGACCAGCAACATCTGTATCTTCTCGAAAATATTTAATTCTTCCCCCAATAAGTGGGTAAGGCAATTTTTACAGATGACTTTTAGTAACGTGTTTACTAACTTGTCAGGGTGTAATAATGTGTCTAGCAATCATATTCTAGCCAGCCTGGAGATCCGGTTCTTTGCACTTTCCTTGACCCTAGTGGACCTTGCCTTACCCAACTGTGAAATCTCTAGGAATGCCTGACGAGTGGAGAATGAGTCGCTGAGTATGGGAAGCACGGAATTCTGTACCCCTCAAGACTCTCCCCAAACCACAGACGGGTAGATCTGCGGGGTAATCAAATTGCATGCACCACACAAATTCGCAAGGGCAAGGTGCTGACACACACTTGCAGTTATTTAGAATTACCTTTTTACTGATTGTAAAGGCTTTGTGGGGTGAGTTAGTTGCGGTGCGTGGGTTCCAGCCCAGAGGGACAGTGTAATTAGTTGGGTCCTGGGCTGCAGGGTAGGAAGGGTCCCGCCGGTTACCTGTGGCCAGCGCGAAGGCCGGGACGCTGTGGAAGCGCACCGGGCCGCCACTGCGGCCGCCCTCGCACTCCACGAAGGCGGCTACCAGCCCGCACGGGCAGTGGATGTTGACCAGGGCCTCGCGGGCGCCGGCGGGGGGCGCTGGCACCAGCCCGAAGTCGAGCGCGAACCGGCCCAGAGCCAGCACCGCGTGGCCGCACATGGAACTGTAGCCCTCGTTGTGCAGGAACAGGACGCCCAGGTGCGCGCCAGGCAGCTCGCTCGGCACCAGCACAGCCCCGTACATGTCCCGGTGCCCCCGGGGCTCGAACATGAGCCGTCGCCGCACGTGGTCGAGGTGCTGGCGCATGTAGCGCTGCTTGGCCAGCAGCGTGGGGCCGACCACCTCCGGACACCCAGCCAACACGATGCGCAGAGGCTCGCCGCCCGTGTGCATGTCCACCACCGACAGAGCCGGCGTCCTCGGGTCGTGCGGAGGCAGCCGGGGCACAGCCGGCGGGCTCGCCATCGTCTGAGTCCGGATGGGGAAATCAACCACCGCACGGCCGCTCGCGCTTCCAGCCGCCTGTCCAACCGCCTCCTCCCCGCCAGAGGGCCAGGCCGCAGCGCCACCTGAAAGGCGGGGCCTTCGAGCCGAGACCCGGAAGCCCGAGGCGGGGCGGGGCTTCGGAGCGGTCGCCCGGGTTACCAGGAGGCGGAGCCGTCGAGGCGGCTTTGGCCCGGATGTCCGGGCGCTGCGGCCGGGTCGGCTGATCCACTAACCTCTCCAAGGAAACCTACAAGCTGCCGATGGGTGAGTGACTGCCGAGGTCCTGGGAAGCATTTATCTTAGTCTCTGCTTCTTCCCTACGCTCCCAGCTCTGGGCTGGGCCACAGCGGGTGGCCTCCGGATAGCGGCGAATCCTTGTCCCTTGCTCCCAGCAGCTCTTGGCCGGGCCGAGGTGGGATAGGGGTAGTCTCTGCTCCAGACAAGCTGCAGCGAGGAGACCGACTGCAGAGGGGACGCTGGCTGCGTACTGGGGGAAAAGGACAGACCTTTGTTGTTTGTTCAAAATGTCACCTTAGTCCCTTTGTTTCGGTCCCTTTGTTTAACATTCCTGAGAGTTGACTTGACAATTTAAAGCGCGGGCGTAAGTGCAGGAAAACAGGAAAGGAAGCAGAAGCTAATTGCTGCTTAACGGTTGTGTCCAGCTTCAGCATCAAACGTTAACTTTGGGGGGCCTTTCACAAAGGGGCATGACGGTTGCAAAAAAGCAAAAAATCTAGACCTCCTTTACTAAAGGAAATCAAAGGGGAAAGTGAGCGTGCAGTGGGAGCTAGGGTTTTTTTGGTCGACGGTAAGCTGTTGCGTTCAGTTTATCATACCGGTTTTCAGGCCTTGGATTTTGAGAAATTTTAGAATATTTACACTCAAATGTATTTATTATGCATCTGCTAGATGCAAAACCGTTATAGAAGGTTTCCAATTCTTTACCTTCTGCCTTCTCAAAAAATCTGAAACAACTCGTTTCCGTCTATTAGTTTAGAACATTGTGATTACAACTGGTTTAAAAATAAGTGCCAAGTAAGGTAAAGAAGCCCATGGGTTTTTTAAAAAGTCAGAAATTTGATAAAAGTGAAAATATTAAACTTGAGGCATTTTAGTCAGCGCCATTTCTATTTTTCTCTTAAGCACAAGGAGAAAGAAAAAAGTCTACTTGAATTTGAAAGAAGAAAGAGTATTGTGGATCAGGCAGTCTCTAGATTGTGAATTCATGAAGAATTTGGGAAATGATTGTTCAAGAATAGCCATAGAATGCATAATTTCCCAAGTTAATTCACATTTGGCCACAGTTGTTTTGGATTTATTCCACACGAGGCTGTAGGTTCTTTGAGGGTAGGGACTCTGTCATGTTCCTCCGTGAATCTTTAGGGGCCCTTCACCAGTGGAATCAGACACTTAATGCATGTTTACTGAAGGAATGAGTCAATGATTGAAGGGAATCAGATGTCACTGATGAAAAAAACTAGTTCGATAGTTTCTCCCTGTAGATGAGGTCAAAGACAATCTGTAGGCCCTGAGTTTTTTGGTTAAAAAGAGCTGCTTTTTATGTCGTCCAAGCCTTGAGATCAGAGGGTTGATTCTAATGCAGTGGTTCCTAAGTATTGGTCAGAGGCCCAGTGACAGCCTTGGTGAAATCTTCACTTGTCCTCTACAAAAATGACCAAAGTTAGGATAATTTACAAGCTTCTTGTAAGGTAAATGTATTTACTTTAAAGGCCTTCCCTTTATTCTGAACTTATGTCCTCTCTGCTTTTCTGGTATTAAAGGGTGTTCTGTCATGAAGGAAGGTGATAATAGATTTCGTGTGTATGCTCGCACTTAATGTCCTGACTGGGCAAAATAAAAAGTATCCATCCTCTCTTAGTCCTCTAGTTAAAAAAAAAAAAAGGGAAATTCAAAAGGCTAGACCATCTAATCAAGGGGAATGGCTGGTTGGAGCCACTGGAGACATACCAGGTTAGGCTTTGAGTTGTGGGCATAAAGTCCGCTCTGCTGGTTGAGGACCTTAATCTTAAGGAACAGTATTAGCAATAAGGTTCCATGTAACCTTCAGTAATGTCACAGTGTAAAAGGAAACCTTTAAATAAATGCATCAAGACTTTTGTCTAATACATATTTTTTAATTGAAAGTGTGTTGAGATATTTCTGCCAAATGTTTCAGCTCTTATTACCTTATTTTTTATAATCACAAAAGATGTTACTATACTGGCATTTGTTTTTAAAAAGCTGTCGATATTCAACCAGCATGCCTTGGACTGTATTGTGGGAAGACCCTGTTATTTAAAAATGGCTCAACTGAAATATATGGAGAATGTGGGGTAAGTCTTAACATTTGTATGTTATTTCATTTGTATGTTATTTCATTTGTAAAATCTTTTTGCTTCTGAAATCTTGTCACATGTAGAATAACTTCTTCAATGTATTCAACTTGTAAAAGAATATGGAGGCATTAATAAAATCCTTATTTGTGTTGTCATATTGATTATATATCTATAATACATCTTGACGGTCACAGTTACTAAGTTTTCTAACTTGATAGTTTTATAATAATTTCTAATTTTTATTAATATAGAAAAGTGATTTGGACAATAATTTAGCATTACAACGCCAGAGCATTTCTCTGCAATTTTTATATGGTGTTAATAACTAGGTTTTTCGTGTAATATTAGTCAACTATTTTAGTAACTTAATAGAGTCCTTTAATAACCTTATACAGGTATAGCAAATGCAATGTAGATTGCTTTTTATTTTACTTATGCTTTATCTTTTATTTTTAAAAGATGCACATGTAAACAGATGTTTAAACTGAAATGTGATGTCTTAGTGAATGATTTTTTGGAGGTGTTAATGTTCTAGGATAATAACTGTACATAAAATACTGTTCTTATATATCATAGGTGTGTCCAAGAGGACAGAGAACAAATGCACAGAAGTATTGTCAGCCTTGCACAGAGTCTCCAGAACTTTATGATTGGCTCTATCTTGGATTTATGGCTATGCTTCCTCTTGTTTTACATTGGTTCTTCATTGAATGGTACTCAGGGAAAAAGAGGTTAGCACTTTCTATGAATGTATCTGGGGGGACTGATGTTGGAATAGCTATCATTTAGAAGACCTTATCAAGTAATTATACTTCTGTTTTTGTAAAAGTGGCAAACTTGTTTTTCCTTTATCTTCTGATTACTTTTGACTGTGGCAAGGAAACTTAATGCTAGGGCATGCCTCAGTAAATATTAAGGGAAATATCCTTTGTCTGTTTTACTCTGAGTGATGCTGAGGGAGTATTTTAGTTATATTTTTATTTCTTAATTATCTTCATTGGTTTTCTACAAAGACTTGGCTATGATTACAAACTGTTTATTGTTCTAAAACAAATACTTTGCAACTTAATACTAGTAATCTAGTATAATGTAGTTAAAATGCTATAGCTGCAAGCTAATTATGAAAACTCATACTAAAACAAATCCAGAAAATTTACTGAGCATTGTGTTTTATGTTGAAAAGATCAGGGAAGGAGATACAAAAATAACTGATGTGGTTTATAGTCATACTCTTGTAGAGAAGACAAATGTATACATAACTAATTATAATACAAATCAGTCTTAAAAGTATATAACAAAAAGTATATAAAAGCTTTATAAACAAAATGCTGTGGAATCACAAAGAATGGAAGAGATAAATTGTGCCTGGTGGCATCCGAAACACTTCAAAAAAGGAACATTTTAGGCAGAGGCAACAGCATGAACACTGGCGGGGAGGTATGAAACGTGATCTCTTGTGAGTGGGAAAGGAAGTAGTTGGGTGTTCAAAGTGTGGATTGCATATGAGAGAAAGGTGATAAAAAGGAAGGTGGGAAAGGGGGTTGAGGCCAGAATGTGAAAGTTCTTGGTGATGTTGTGAACCTCATCCCACTGGGAATGAGGAACCATATTCTACTGTAGTACATTTCAGCCATCCTGGCTGTTGGTTCCTCTGACATCTCAGCATCTTTCCTGCTTTAAGTCCTGTCCCTTTCCCCAAACTCTTCTCTACCTGAAATACTCTCTTCTCCCTGCAACTTTTTACCTAGCTGCCTTTTCTTCCTTCAGATCTCAGGTTAAATTACACCTACTCGGAGAGGCCTCCCCTGACCCAATCTAATGTAGGTCTGTACCCGTTATTTTTCTTTTTTAATAGCACTCTCATTTTGTTGTTTTTGCTTTGTATTTAGCAGTCAACACAATCTGTAGTTATGTTTGTCTCCTCATTTAATGTTATTTCCCACCCCTGACCATAGGCTCCATGAGGGCAGTGGTCATCGCTGTTGTTCTCTATGAAATCTCCAGAGACCAGCACAGCTGCTGGCACATGGTAGATACTCGCTTAGTATTTGCCGAGTGAATGATTTATTGGTGAAGGTTTGGGTTTAGAGAAACAGCATCTTGGATGTATGTTTTAGGAAGATAACTTCTGTGGAGGGCAGATTAGTGGTGAGACATATTAGAAAGCTGTTGTCCAAGAAATAGTGATGGCCAGTGGTAGGAACGGAAGTGAAGAAGGTCAGGTGGAAGTAGAATCAGTACTTTTCTGGATCTACCTAATAAGTCCACAGTGATTATTTACGTTGGAAGAGCATTCATTACTTTTTCAGAAGACTCTATTAAAAAATTTTTTTAAAGCAGCTTTCATCCTGCTTTTAATTTCTGTTATAGAATGATGAGAGATGAGGGCTAGAAAAGAGATGTGATTAACAGAGCTAAAATAGAATAATTGCTCATTTGGAACTTCTCAGCCCAGAGTGGAGAAGAGGTAGGTTTAATGGATGTACCTCACCAAATGCATTTGAACTAAAACATCAGATATGTTTTGAGAGAGAATTTTAGAGCAGAGGGTAGAGCCTTGGTTTGGGGGTAAAGCAGAGGTGTGATCAGTGCTTAGGCAGGAAAGGAGGTGGGTTTAAAAAGGAGGTTGCATATCTATGCTTTGCCTAGGAAATTGGTAGCAAGGAAGACAAGGACTATCTCTTGTATTTTCCTGAGACATTGCACTTAAAATCAAGGAAGCAGAGGCCTAGCTGTCTGAGGCTAGATTCATGTTTCTCGA